TTTGCTATAAATATTAAATAGGTTTTAAATGCTTATTTTTCCAAATACCAATAGTTTGAATTTTCAACCGATGGATAATTTTCGAAAATGCTTTTCGCGTAAGATCTTTTTTCCTTTTAAAAAAAAGTTACTCTTAATATAATAAGCAAATACATATCAGATATATATACCAAAACTTTAATATGTTAAATTTGCAACACTTAAATAAAATATTTAGGTAAAAAGAAAAAAAAAAACTTACAAGAGAATATATGAAAAAAAAAAATCAAACGAAAACTGGAAATTCCTTTTGAAATTATGAATGAGACAAAGTCAAAAAAATCAAATTTGAACAACACCTTGTGCGATACAGATGAGGCCAAGACTTGCAACACCCTGTGCAATACGGGTGAGACAAGAAATTATCAAGACTTGCAACACCAGGTGAGAACACGTGTGAGGCCAAGTCAATTATTATAAAAGAAATTAAGAAATATCAAGGCTTGCAACACGCAGTGCAATACAGATAAGGAAAAGTCGGTTATCGTAAAAAAATCAAAAATATCAAAGACTTGCAATTAAGAGTAACTTAAAATTTTTCCAAAGTTATTATTTTTTGATAAAAATTACTACAAATCACCAGTGGTGTTCAACACCAATGTAGTTTTTTACTAAAATTTAGGGTTAGGGTGCAGTTTGGGATATATAGGAGGGTTATACTGTATATAATTTTAGGTTACATAAGGTTTTGGGAGTTCTAAACATTTTTACTTAGTATTCACAACCCTAATTACTTAGTAGGTTTTTGATCACCAGTGGTGATAAATAGCAAACTTTAAATGTATAAAGACTTGTCTATAGATTCTATAATTAACTTTATTAATTTTACATAATTTCTTGAAGTGGTATTTCCATATCTTTAATTACGGTTGTTCGTCCACGTACTTTGTTTTTTGCGAAATTGGAGGAAGTCTAAAAAACTCATGTTGTAAATATGATTGGTTAATATCAGAAGAACTTAAAAATTTGTAAACTATACAATACATAAAATATTCAACTAAACGAAGTCTGTTTTTAATTTATTCATTATCAAAGTACAGTTCACCCTTGTTATAACGTAGTGATCGGGCCGAGAAATTCTGTTATAATGAATATCCGCTATAGCGTTATATAGTATAATAGTAAAAATTTTAAATTGTTCTAGAGAATTACTCTGTTATGACGAGATATTCGCTATAACGAAGTCCGTTATAACGAGGGTGAATTGCATATAACGCTATAGCGGATATTCATTATAACGGACAGAATTTATAACGAGGGTGAACTGTACACGCTTTTTAAAAAAATTTAAAAATTTATTATTTATAAGCGTACCGGAATATTATTTTTTTCTAAATTCATTGTTGCACCTAAGCTTTTGAGCAAGGTACCGAATTACGTTGGAGTTAATCATAGTTTGGCCGGCATTAAGTAGAAAGGGGTTCTACCACAAATCCCGAAAGACAGATTCCCGAAAGAACATAATATAGATAAATTAGCCAGCATTGTAACTAATGCCGACTAACTTTGTCGGTATTAGGTCCTTTCGGGAATCTGTCTTTCGGGATTTTGTGGTAAATCGTAGAAAGGATAGAGTAATATCGAAAAATTTCAGGATGACAGACAGTCAAAGAACACAAAACACGAAACACGAATATGGTCGCAAATTACTGATATACTTATACATATTACGTATCTGCGATTTTTTATTGAAAATTTTGAAATTTTTCGTGTACTGATTGTATTAGCTATCGTTTTTAACATCTAAAACCATAAAGATCATTTCATTGATATAGTAAAAGTTCGATATTCCAAAATTGAATAATTATTTTGTTTTTTTTTTAAAAAAAAAATTCATAAGTTCGAAAATCTAAGTAAATTTTTAATTTTTGAATATTAATTAAAAAAAAACATGCTATATCACTATAACGATATCGAAATTTTGAGATTTTATATTTAAGTTTGCAAATTGAAAAAAAATTGAAACTAAAAAAAAAGAAAAAAAAAAAGAATATATACAGAATAGCTAGCTAGTAAATCAATTCAATAAGATACAGTATCAAAAAATTTTATCGTTCTTTCTATTTCTTTTCTCACAAAATTCAAAGATAAGGAGAAAAATTACAGCAAACCAAACTAACATAATAACTCTCCAAGCATAAATAAAAAGGCCCATCCTAGAAAATAAGTAAGATTCAATAATTAAAAATAAAATTAAAATCCAATTAATTATTCTATTTCTCACACGTGTCTGTTCTTGAATTGTTATATGGTTGTAATTTATTGGATCATTTGTTGGCCTACTATTGCTTGTTTCTGTGGATTTTTTTGATGGTTTAAAATGTGATGGTTGAGAAGGTAGATATTCGTCAAAACTTTGTTCTTGTTCAGAACTACTACTATCTTCGACTGACGTTGGCGTCAAAGATATTGATGTTTCTTCACCATCGGTGATTTCTATTGGTTGTTGTCTCAGAGAAGATTCTTTAGTTATATCGATTGTGGTGTGCGTATCTTCAGTAATGTCAGTTGTTTGCATATTGTGTGCACAACTTGTTGGATAGTTTTCATCATTGCTTCTTGATGTCACATCTTCGTTATTTTTCTCATGTTCTATACTATTATTTCTATGTCCCTCTATTTTTCCATTTTTTTATATATGAATTAAATCTTTCCACGATAGAAACATAAATATTATTATTGCTTTGTTTGTGATAACAGTTTGGTGTATTATTATCAGGAAAATTAGAAAATTTCGGTGAAATAGTCCTTTTTTTTTGTATTTTACATTTTGCAAATGTGTGAAATATTTTAATAGGTTTTGTTTGAGTAGGTGATGTAGTAATAAAATCATCTAAGTATTCATTTTCGTTGTTGTCGTCTTCGTCGTCATCATCAAAGTCAAAGGATAAAGGTGTAATTGGAGTTAACGGAGTATTTATAATACTGACAGTACTTGAAGTACTGCTTGGAGTGCCAGGTATTTCGTCTTGTGAGTCAGTGTTCGAAAATTCAGCTGGATTGTTAGCAAACTCTAAGCTAATATTATTATAATCGAGGATAGTACGATCTTCAGTACGTGAAAATTGGGGATTTGTTGAAAAGATATGTTGCTTTAGATTAATCTCTTGGTCGACAATTTTTGAATCGATAGATCCATTGGTGGTGGTAGAGGCAAAAAATGGATTATTGTCACGGAAAGCGGTCTTAAAATTGTTCTTGTTCAAGACAGAAGTATTGATTTCAATTATCAAGCTAAATCCAGGTTTCTTCACAGGTTTTGTGGTGATGGTTTGAGATTTACAATCTTTTTTGTCCACGGTCTCAACGAATTCGGTTTGCGGTTTAAAAGGTAAAGATTCAGGTAACGTAGTGCTGCATTCGCCAATCTCTTAAAAAAAGGAAAAATGAAAGGATTTTCGTTATTTTGATTCATCTCTCCAATTATCATGAATCAGGATAAAGTACCTTTATCAGAAGCGGTCTTAGCATTCCTGTCATCATCATCATCATCATCATCATCGTGCGAAAAGTATAGCCTGTCATAAATATCATCATATCCCTCAAAATATATGTCTTCCCAGAATTTTTTGGCAATTTTAAACGTTTCTTGTACTTTCACCAGTTCACAAACAGCTCTCAATTTTGTTAGAGAATCAAAGGCCATCGATAAAAAATACATTATTTATTTTTATTACGCGCGGTAAGTTTTATTTTCAAAAGTTTTTACAAAATGAATTACAAAACGATGAAAAAAAAAATTAAAGAAATTCTGTACACCGTTGTATTTAAATGACTTAAGAAAAGATAAATATCTTAGAGGTTCGATATTGTTAGTAAGTACATAAGAACCTTTTTGTTCTATACGTGATCTAATACTTAATAATTCAGGAATTCAGACATTAGATTAAACCGTATTGTTGAAGCAACTGATGTATTGTCCGATATCCTAAATAATCAAAAATCGAATATATATAAATATATCAATTAACATAACAAAAGAATGAAGTATTAATAGTATTAACACTGCGTAAATATGCTTTCCTGAATTTTATATACATAGCCAAGGAAATTTCGTTTTTGTGTCTTAGGTAGTCATTGTTTGAACATTACTATCCTTTAAAAGTAAAAAAAAAA